ATGCTGAAATCTTTATATAGATGGCACTGCATACCTTCCACACATGAGCTGTTATAAAAATCCTTGCATGTACCAAAAGGATTCTTGGTTGATAATTAGATTCAGAAAAATACATTTAATCAAACTGACATCCATTACTTCTTGCTACTATAAAATGGGCCTTGTGGCTCTCTGCATTGATTTTCTGGAAATATCTGCTGGCTATTTAACTTGGGCAAAGAACGTGATCCTTATGAACCTGCTTTCCAGACACAGTTCTCATTTTTTTTCTTTTACCCATTCCCCCAGCTGTCAGCTCTGCCCAGTGTAAAACTGACAAAGAGTGGGGTGTTGGAGGCCAAACAATGGTATAGTCAAGAGTACAAAGATACAAAGGGAAGCTCTTGTGGCATATATTGTATCTATATTTATTAGTTCCACAGATGTGCTGTCTCAGCTGCCTTTAATCAGTAAATATCAATTTCACTTTAGAACCAGAAACTTTTGTTATAAATTCCTATCTTACATCAACAATGGATTGTTACGCTCAGTCCCTGCTCCTCTCCTCCAGCCCCCCAACTGGCCAAGCTCCTACATACACATGCTTGTAATATCATCTAACAGAGAGTTCCAAGTAAAGCGAAGTCAGAACTTTACCAGGTTGCCAAGTTAGTTAAAAGGTAGCAAAACATAAGCAATGAGCATCTCCCTCCTGATTTCACTTCGACTCCTTTCAGGTTTTGTCTTTTGGGCATTGGCTCAAATATAAATAAGCTTAATAACATTTGTTTTATTGCACAGCTTTATTATATTCTGATTGCTTTGAATGCCTGCATGGCAACAAAGTATCATTGAGTCATAAAACAGAGGACTTGCCATGCCAGATAGGACCAGGGGTCTGTTTACTCCAGTAACCTGTCTCTGACAGTAGCCAACATCAAATCCCTCAGAACAAGGTGCAAGTGGGCAATTAGGGCCTGACCCAAAACCTGTTAATGTCAGTGGAACGGCCTTCATAGATCAACCTACCCAAAGAGGAAATTTCTTACCTATGCCTGTTAGCAGTTGGCTTGTACCCAGAAGCAAGGGGATTGTATCCCTTCTAAATGAAATTTAATCCTATGTTATGCAATTGTGGCTGTCCTAATTATATATATAAATGTCTAGCCCTGCTTTTGAATCCCACTAATCTTTAGGCCACAATGATACCCTGTGGCAATGAGTTCCACAGATTAATTATGAGTCGTGGGAAAAAGCATTTCCTTTTTTCCATTTTAAATTTGTTGCTTTTCATTGAGTATCCCCTTGCCTTGTGCAGGAGGAGAAAGGATATATAGGAGCACTCAGTTCTGTATCATTCATTATTTTCTCTACTTCTATAATGTTTCTTCTTATTTATCTTCTGCTTGATTTCTCCCCATCCTCTATCAAGGCATATTAAAATTCTATTTTGCAATTACAGTTTCAACCAGTTTACCTGTTTGAAGGCTTATTGTGTAGAGTTTGCAGCTTCACCCCCACTTCTCTTTTTAAAAATAGGTACAACATTTGCTACCCTCCAATCCCGTAGTTGATTTCAATGAGAGTTTGCGTATATTTGTTATCAGATCAGTCATTTCATTCCAAAGTTTCTGCAGAATTTTTGGATGCAATCTCTGCTCCTACTGCTCTTTAATTTAGCTACTTAGTTATTTGCTCTGAGACCTTCTCTTCTGGTACCTCAACTTCATCTTTCTTACCTAAATCCAGTGTAGGTGTCTCCCCAACATCCTCTGCGGTGAAGATGGTTTAATAATTCTCCCACCAACAGAAATGCTTTCTAATATGACAGAAAGGTAATTGCTGGCTTCCTTTCTAAGGCAGGATATTCACAGCCCTTTCAAGTTGATGCTGCTCCACAGGCTGATACTTACAACGCTAATCCTTTTACTTTGCTCTTTTAAATAAATCAGATAGTTTATGCCATTGGGAGTTTGCTATTCACACTCCAACTCTAAGACCAGGAATGTGGTCTGCATACATCATTATTTAAATTGTTCACAGTGCCATAGGCTGTTCTCATAGGGACTTTTCATCAGATATAAAACACCACATTCCTGTCAAAATTATATCAAAGCATTTCAAAGCATATATTTGAACTGCCTGGTATTTATGAGTAAGTATAGGAATGCCAAACATATTTTCCCACTTTGCTCTGCTAGTCTAACTCAGCTAAACATTAAACCTGGTTTGAAATAGGCTAATGTATTAACAGGTGTATTGTGAGCAAGACACGAGAAGTCATTCTTCCGCTCTACTCTGCACTGGTTAGGCCTCAACTGGAGTATTGTGTCCCGTTCTGGGCACCGCATTTCAAGAAAGATGTGGAGAAATTGGACAGGGTCCAGAGAAGAGCAACAAGAATGATTAAAGGTCTTGAGAACATGACCTATGAAGGAAGGCTGAAAGAATTGGGTTTGTTTAGTTTGGAAAAGAGAAGACTGAGAGGGGACATGATAGCAGTTTTCAGGTATCTAAAAGGGTGTCATAAGGAGGAGGGAGAAAACTTGTTCATCTTAGCCTCTAAGGATAGAACAAGAAGCAATGGGTTTAAACTGCAGCAAGGGAGGTCCAGGTTGGACATTAAGAAAAAGTTCCTAACTGTCAGGGTGGTTAAACACTGGAATAAATTGCCTAGGGAGGTTGTGGAATCTCCATCTCTGGAGATATTTAAGAGTAGGTTAGATAAATGTCTATCAGGGATGGTCTAGACAGTATTTGGTCCTGCCATGAGGGCAGGGGACTGGACTCGATGACCTCTCGAGGTCCCTTCCAGTCCTAGAATCTATGAATCTATTAATTTACTAGTCAAAATTACTCTAGAGAGCTTGATTCAGTTCTAAGATACTATGGTCATCAATCCCTTGAACTGTACGTGGTACAGGAGAGCAGAATTTTCAAAAGTGTTTTGCAATGGCCTAACTGCTGCTGCAGACGTCAATAAGAGCATTGACTTGATCCTTGGTATGTGAGCATGGATTATTGACATGAGCAAGGATGGCAGGACTGGGCACTATCAAAGAAGTTAAACATTTCCAAATACAGTGTAGAGTTTTCAGTACTTCCAGGTTGAGGTAGAAAGCCAAACAACTGGATAGAACAGCACCAAAAGCAAGTGAATTAAAAACATCTTGGAAACAAAGCTAATAGGTTTGCCAAGTTAATACAGAAACATCACTCTCAAGCTGGCAGCTTCATACTAAAACTCAAGATAACTTCTGAATCTGAGACATCTGTATCCAGACTAAAGCAGAGACTAATGACCAGTGCCAAATGAGAATAAAGAATAAACACAAAATCTGCAGAGACTCAAAAATTAAGGTATTTCACATCCATTACTATGATTTAAAGATGGAAAACAGTAGAACGGTAGTGTTCATTCTTATAAAAATCACTGTCATATTTTTGAAATTCGGCTATTTTATTGTGTGACAGTCTATTTCCAATCAAATTCCCATTTTCCCTGAATAAAGTCATCTTACTGGACACGATACATCTACATCAGTTTTAAGTAGTGACTTTTAAGGGGCTTTGAGTTTCGAAACATTGTAAATCAAGCATTCATTCCTGAGAATTACCAGTTCTTCTTATGTAGCTATTACTTGATGGATATTGTTTTAATTGGTTATTTAACATATCATTTGTGAATTATATCTATTACACACAGGCACACTCCCTTTCCCTTTTTGACCTCCAAATTATAGCTTTATATATTTAATCTACAGGTTTGAAAGAAAGCTTAAACACTGTTCAAAAGAGATTTTAATTCCCAACTTCAGACATTAATAAGTTACTTTTGCTGTCCGATAGTTTCACTTCTTAAGTACTTCAGGTATTTCTAGCGGCATTGTGACATGACTGTCTGGCTGCCTTTAAAAAGGTACACCGAGTTATACATAACTATTCAAGAGCCAGCGATGTAAGATTTGCTTCACCATGACAGGGCTATCTGTTTAGGCATTCAACTAATTTGTGGGAAACAACCTACAATATTGCAGTTTACCCCCTGGCATTATAGCTTCTTGATTCTTATTCCATAAATACGTTTCACTGCAAGGCAATTCCTTATTAATTTGTTTTCACTGATATCCTTAAGGAGATCCCTTACACCTTATGTCTTTTCTTCGTTTTCATTTAGCGTTGCAGACCTGTTAATCAATCACTGCGAGTGGGGAGGGAAAGGAAACTTTCAAATAAAATCCAAAAGGCCATATCCCAAGCCAATCCAAGAAGCAAACAATTTTGCAACATCTCCAGCAGTCCTTTGCAATCGCTCAGTTCAAATTAGCATCATCGCTGCAGACAGAGCCTCGGAGTTCAGTGCAGCCAGCACTGTAATCTTAAATAAATACAAACTCTTCAACCCAACCATGGCCTCCAAATCCATACACCGGGGGATCTCCACCCACAGTGAGCACCTAAGGGAGCTCCCGGAACCTTCGCGCGTCTCCATTTAGGTCCCCCACAGAATCCCACTCTCAGTGGGTCAATGAAAAGAGCAATTCTCCCGCCCCCCCCCCCACACTCTACTGCCCAGCTCATCCCCCTTCGCCTCCAGCCGCTCTGCCGCGCTGCTCTTAAGTGATGGGAACGCGCCGTCAGCACCCTGGAGAGCTCCCGGGGCGCAGCAATGGGGGGGCAGCACCTAGGAGAGCCGCCTGAGGGCAGCCAGCATCTCCTCCCCCCCACCCCACCCCCGGACATGCCCTTTGGACCAGCACCCTCTCCCCCAGCACCCCCTAGCCCAATGATCTTTGCAATGCTCCCTCTGCCCCCCGCCCCTCTCTACCCTATGGCCAGCAACACCCCAGTCCTACTCCCTCTTGGAACCAGCCCTGCTCGCCCCAGCCCCTGGGGGTTAACATGCCCTGGCCACCCCATACCCTCTGTGCCAGCCCCCTGCCTCCCCGCCCCGCGCCCCCGGGGCTGACACCCCCTGCCCCCCGCGCCCTGGGGGCTGCCACCCCCGGAAACCCCCCTACCTGTCGTCGTTCTGGAAGGCCTGGTCCCCCAGCAGCAGGTCCCGGAACCGGTAGCGGGGCGGCAGGGGCAGCACCTCGGACTCCAGCTCGTTCATCTTCAGGGAGGCGATGTCCAGGATGACCCCGCTTCTGCTGCCGCCGCAGCCCCCGCAGCCGCCCGGCGACGAGAGCCTGCCGGAGAGAAGGGGACGGATGGAGCCGGGCTGGAGCCTCTGCCCTGCCCGATCGGCTGGCCCCAGACCAGCCCCCTCCCAGCCACGCAGGGACCCTCGCCTCCCCGGCCCCTGGAGCCCGCCTGGCTCAGAAGCCCCGGGAGGAGCCGGGGCAGCAGCGATGTGGGATCGGATTTGGGGGGGATCTGGGGGCGCAGGCTCGGCACGGAAATGGCGGGAGGGAGAGGAAAGTGGCGGCTGCTGCTCAGGTCTGTGTGGCTACGCCCGCCCCCCATCTCCTCCCCCGGCACGGGCAGGGCAGCAGGGGGGGAAAGCCCAGCAAAGACCGCTGGCAAATGCCGGGCAGCGCGCTCCTAGGGAAGGGGAGCCGGGGGGAGCCATCGCTGCAGCGTGGGGAACGTGGGTGCACTTTCCCCGCTGGCGATGCTGGCCCTTCAATCACTCGAGCAAACCAGCACCCAACTACCAGTCCCCTGGCCGGCTGCCACATGCCCTGGCGAATAGGACGTGTCCCCCCAGTTCTGGCAGCCCGCTGCCTAGGAGAACAGGGGGGGTTGCTCTGCGCTTGTTTGGAAGCCAGTTAACTGATCAAAAGTTCTGGTTCTATTTAATGGGCAGTAAAATAGTATTCGGAAGGAATGTGCTGCAGCGAGCGACACACGGGGGGTAGATCTGGGTCGGTGTGCACAGAAATAGTGTGTGCATGAGCTCTGTCTTCTACACGCGCTCTCTTTCCCCCACCTCCAAAAGGTGGAGAGAGAAAAATAAACCAGGGTATTTTTTAAACAAACTTTGGGGATAAAATGAGGGGAATTAAACTGTTCCCCTTCAGCAGTGAGCTACTGATTGCATCACATGCCTCTTAAAGAGTTTGAGTTGCAGACACTACAAGAACGGTTAAACCAAGCAAAAATTGTTCCCAGATTTAAAAAAATCGTGTCTATTATATCACATCTCTCTATATATAAAGCATGTCTAAGCTATGGGACATTGTCCTTTTAAATCAGCTCTCCTGAGGAAGTCACTCTATGCCAGCATCAGAGTAACTCAAGTTTCACAGGCTCTTTATGGAGGCCTGGAGGAACAGGAGAGCCTTGGAACTTGATGGAGGGAGAAGTTGCAATGGCTTTGCAGGAAGTTTATTCCTATCCCTCTCATCCAACATTCAGTTTTAGGGCTCAGAAATGACAAAGGCTGAACAACACCAGCATTGTTACTTAGGTTTATAAGGGCCTGATCCAACATCCACAGAAGTTAATAGAGAAACTCCCACTGACTTTGAATCAGGTCCTTAGACCATAACATGCATGACATATAGGAATACAAAAAGAACGAGGAGTCCTTGTGGCACCTTAGAAACTAACACAAGTACTCCTCGTTCTTTTTGCTGATTCAGAGTGGTAGCCGTGTTAGTCTGTAACATATAGGAAAACAACAACAGAACCTCAGAGCATGGTTCCAAATTGGCATCTGCAACAAGACAGCTGGGATGACTGCAGAAAAGCATTCCAAGGTCCTTCATACCCTCTCACAATTTTGTTTTACACCAGTCGTAACTCAGAATCCTCTAAGATAACTTGCCAGGTGACCAAGTTATAGAACTACTAAGTGCCGCAGTTCTTAAGGGTGGAGAGGAGCAAGTGGCATACAACATTTCTGCTGAATGCAGCCCAAGAAGCTAACTGAACTCAACCCTCAGCACTTTCAATTGGCATCTTACTCACTGCATTTACCAGTCAGTCCTATCCCTTCATTCTATACCTCTGTAATCAAGGGCTATCCGACTCGTTTTACCTGCCGTACACACAATGAAAGCCAAAGTCTGCACTGATTTGCACTCCCTTGGGCCTCAGCAAGGAAATATAGGGGTATAAATCAATTCCGAATTTGGCCTTGTATATTGAAATAGGTTCAAGTGAGAAGTTGAGCCAAATTCCACTGAAATCAAGGAGTCCCTCTGGGTTTACCCTGGTGTCAGAGCAGCCGTTGTTCCAACTTCTTTGATCTCACGCTGTAAGGAGAGATCTAATGATAATTTATTGGCAAAGCCCTAAGCTGAGGCTTTCCTGCAAGAAGAGTTTAGCTCTGGTGTTCTGTGAGTTGCTTTTATTAGGCCACATCCCATCTATATTTAATAATTAGAGGGTGAAATCCTGGCCCCAGTGAGACCAATAGCAAAACTCCCATTGACTTCAGTGGGGCCAGTATTTCACCCACAGAATGGATGCTAAGGGAAATACTTGGTTATTGAATTTTTCTTCTCTGCATAGGATAGTGTACACATAAAGATAGAGGAGTCAAAGCTCTCTCTTCAGTCGTGGAAGATTACAATTCCACCTGCAGGGCATTTCCTCTCTCAAAGGGTGAAATCTGTTAAGGGAAGATGCCATTCCCTTCCCTAGAGGGCATAGAAACTGTTAAGGACTGTACACAGTGCCATACAGAAAGGGAGCATTCCGCTAATTAATTTCCAATGGGCAAATAAAAGCCCCAATCCTGCAAATACTTTATGCACAGATGTACTCCCGTTGAGTTCAACTGGAATATATGAACTCAGGGAATTATTCACATGTGTAAAGTTACTTATGTGTGCAAGTGGTTGCAGCTCTGAGCTGGTGCAGAATTTACTCCTGGGGGAGTTCTGCACCACTGCGCATGTGCAGAATTTCTCCCCCGCATATTTCTTTGCTTTCCCGCGGAAAACTGACTTTCTGACAGGGAAGCAAAGGGAAGCCACAAGAGCGGTCATGCGACCCTCCCCAGCAGTATGTTTTGGGTGCCCAGGGCAGCCAGCAGAGAGGTAAATCACTGAGAGGAAGGGGGGCGGGACTGGGGAAGACCCAACTGGTGGCTCCAACCCTGCACCAGGCTCAGCTGGGCTGGGGAGGACGAGACTTCCTCTTCCACTACACAGCATCTGGGGCCGGGTCAGACCCACCCCGAGATTCCTCCCCCAGGTGCAGGAAGCTCTGCAAACTCCCCCCACACACACACACACACACTGCTTTCTGCACCCATCACTCCTCAGTTGCAGGGGGAGGGATCCCTGTACAGGGAGACGCTCCCCCATCCACCCAACCCCCATACATCCAGACCCCCTCAAACCTAGACCCTCCTGTCAAGCCTCTCCCCAGCGCTCAGAACCTGCCCCTCCCCCCCCGCTGAGCCCCATTCCCCTGCACCTGGACCACACCGACAAGCCCCCCGCACCTGGATCCCCATCCCACTGAACCCCACTCCCCCAGATTCTGGACCCCCACTCAGCCCCCCATACCCAGACCCCCTGCCGAGCTCTATCCCCCACACCCAGACCCAACCACCTTCACCTGGACCCCCTGCAGAGTCCCATTATCACTGCACCAAGAACCCCCCAACAAGCCTCTGTGCATCCAGATCGCCCTCAGGCAAGCTGTGTGCATCTCACCATTGGAGAGAGTGCTACTAACACAATAGAAGAGCTTTCTAGACCCGAGGATAACCCTGTTAAGGTCCCTTGCATAACATTCCTAAGTATAAGGAATTTATAACGCCGGTCTCTCCAGAATGTTGGGAATTCCACAATGTTGGGATGTCACAAAATAGTCAAATCATGTTCCAAGTTCTAGTGAAGTGTAAAATCAAAGTGCCGTAGCCAAGCCCATTTATTGCCTAGTAGTCAAACAGCCGTGGAAAACAACTTGACATGATTTATTGTGGTTTAATTTCAATCCTTGCTTCCAGAATCCTGTGCAAGTTAGAATTTATGCTGCATGCAGTGTAAGGAGTTATAACAACATCTATTAATAAGACATTGTAATTTTGCTCCGACTCACAGTCTGTTTACTCCCCAGCAGTGATAACCTCACACAAAGACTGGGGACAGAGTGCAGCTTGAGGTCTTGGGAGCAGGGAGATGGCTGGACTGAAGCTAATGTGATCAGAGAGAAATTAATCTGTTTTATTGTAGATCTGGAGCTAGACAGTCAGTCATTTTCCTGTATTTGTAAACAAGGATGATCTTTTGGAGTCTGATTTACGAGGAAGCTGACTGCTGCATCAGCCTTGGTTTTCTTCAACAAAATTTCTCACGTGTGGGCTGACAGAAATCCTGCTCTTCTCTTGCTGTATTTGAACACAGGGCACACACAGCAGCTAGGCTGCTGACGGCACCGTCATCAGGGACTGGAAATACATACCAAGGACCATGTGCATCCCCTGCAGGACTCCAATAACTTCCTTGGAGCTGAGTCCAGGAGATTCTGGCCCACAGCGTGTTCATCTGATGCATCTGTGGTGCCAATGGGAACCCTTAAAGTGCTGTCAAAGTAGCACTGAGCTTGTCAGGACCGAATAGTCCAATTTTGTTTGTAGGAAAACTTCTCAGGGCTCAGACAGTTGTTTAAAATGCATTTTAAAAGGCATCGATTCTTTTGGGGGCACAGGGACGTTTTTTGATCGAGATGTTGCACTGACTGGTAACAAAGGATGAAGGCAAAGGTAGTGAAACAGGAACAAGGAATCCTTGACTCCATTTCAGTCAATCTTTTGCATGCTGTGAACCACATGCAGAGTGATGTGCACTCATGCTCCAGGGCATAAACCAATCACAAGCTGCCTAAGGTCAGGAAGGAACTTCCTCTCTGGATAGATGCCATCATTGTTTATTACAGGGCTTCTTGCACTTACCTTTAAGCATCAGGTACCAGCCATCATCAGAGAGAGAACACCACACTATATGGGGTACTGCTCTGATCCAGTCTGGGAATTCCTATTTTATCGACACAATAAACAGACCCACCTCCTAAAAGGGGCTGACCATCTCCAACTCCACTGATGTCCATGAACGTTGCAGGTTGCTCAGCACCTCTCAGGGTCATGCCCATTGTTAGGACATGCTCCTAAATCCTCAACAGCAATTTAGGGCCTGGGGATCCTGCAAAGTGCCAAGTGCCCTCTCCTCACGGCTGTTAAATAAATGCACTTCTGGGTCCACCTGACAAGATTTAAAGTGGGAGCAGA